TGTTTCCTCTCCACCTATCCTCTCCTCTATCCATCTTCTATCCGCCTCCCACTCTCTCCCTATTTATTTCAGAACCCCCTTCCCCTCCCCCTTTTCTGATGAAGGGTCTAGGCCCGAAACGTCAGCCTTTCTGCTCCTATGATGCTGCTTGGCCTGCTGTGTTCATCCAGCCCTGCACCTTGTTGTCTCTGCTTCTTGGAATATACTTGTTTCATGAATTCTGAGCTTTTCCTGATCCTCCTCATCTCCCATAGGTAACTAATTATTTAGTCATTCAGCACTTATACGTAGGTATATGCTTCCTTTCTCGGTGTGCACTCTTCCCTGCCTGGTTATGGCCAAAGGTTTAAGGCAATTATTAAAGCAGTAATAGCATCATGCAGTGACAGTTCACTTCCTAGTCACTATGGTATAACTTTTAGGGACTATTGTGATTGCAGTGTTAGTGTCCCTGACTCTGAACCAGGAGGCCTGGGTTCAAGTTCTAACTGTTCCAAAAGTGTAATAAAATCTCTGAACAGGTTGATTGGTAAAAATCTACAACATCCGGAGAATAAAAATACTCCCTGCCTGACAAAACTATGATCACTGTATGGAGGTATATCAGTCAATCAGGACTAGAATGATCAACCTTGATTTTCATCTTGGGACATACCTTTTTGTTGAGTCTCCAAGCCATGCATCAAACAACTAATATTTTCAGCGTTAGTAATAAGACTTATAATAGTTACTGACTTCATAATCATTTTTCAAAACATCATTTCATCTTGATGGTGAAGAATTTCTGAAGCAACTTGCTATCTATAGCAGTGGGTCCAATGTAGTTTGTTAACTGGCTCAATGAAATTGTTGGTTTGCTCGGTCTTACTGTTACTTAACTCTGGGAGGAACCACCATATTCAGAAACTGGCAATTTTACCTGTGTATTATCTGTAATAAAGTTGTAACTACACTCTTTAGAAAGATATGAATTTGTTACATACGATGCAAAGGAAATCTGATCTGTAGCTTAAAAGGCTGAAAAACCTAACACTCAATCTGTGTGAGTTATTAGGAGTAACAGTATAAAATGCACAATATCACTTGACCACCCACAGTGAAGAGTAAAAGAGTGAACTGAATCACTTCTCCATTATTTCTTGTAGTAAGGGTCAAAATTACATTTTTGCAACAGTAGAGCCAATACCAGAAAAATCTTGCGTGACAGATACATTCACTTTTACTAATTTCTGTTTCCGCTGAAGCTAAGACTCAAGTTAGACATTTAGTTGGTTCTTAATGAATAATCAAACTCTTATTTACTTTCAACAGTTGTATACTAGGTGCTTATCCAGTATTGTGACTGGTAATTACAGTTGGCTACTCTCCAGTGGTTAATTAAAATATGCAGGGTTACTTATTGACAAGCTTTGAAGAGTTAAAATTGCCCTTGAATCACTGAACAGCATTATAACGTGTAATATGAAGAAATCCATAGAATCCGGACAGTGCAGAAAGTGGCCATTTGGCCCACTGAGTCTGCACCGACTCTCTGGAGAGCATCCCACCCTGACCCCAACTGATCTCTGAATTTCCCACACTAATCCACCTAGCCTGCACATCTGTGGACTGTGGGAGGAAATGGGTGCATCTGACCTAAACCCATACAGACATGGGGAGAGTGTGCAAACTCCACAAAGACAGATACCCAAGGCTGGAATCAAACCGGAGTCCCTGGCATGGTGAGCCACACTGTGCTGCCCACATTAAAGGAAGGTATACTCAATACTTAAGTGTAATATTAAACAAATGAATTCAGCCATTTTAGGACGGAGATAGATAATGCAATTTGAAAAAGAAATGCGTGCTTGTCAAAGCTTACAGCAGTAGCGGTTTGGTGTTTTGAAAAGTGATCTTGAATATGGGGGAGGTCAGAAAGAAGTGGTTAAGGAGCATTTACCTCACATTTAGAGGCAAAGCTGTCAACTTCCATCAATGGTCTTCAGAATACGCCACAACAGTAGCTCAAGGTTCACAAATCTCTTCCAATTAATTTTGAGCTGTTGTTGTCAGGGTGAGTTTTCCAA